CCTGAAATAGCTTCCCCAGCATTTTATGTAGAAACAATTTTTAATCTACATATGTTCACAAAAGAAACATTTCAAGAGAAATTCTACTCTAATTTTTATTTCCACAAAACCATAACTGAACAGTTTAGAGAGTCACAAAAGTACACATGTAAAGTAGATAAACAAAAGAACAGCATAAGAATTAGTTATTATATTTTACCTGACCTCTAGGAGCAGCACCCTATCACAGACGCTCCTTTTCCTACTCCCTTCCTCTTTATATACCTTGATGATTGGGGAGGGTCCTATCTTACAGTGAAGTTAATGCCTTTCACAAAAAAGCCAAGTCACCTGCAAAGAAGGCCAGGAGTGGGATGGACTCAGAAAGCAACCTACACAAGCTAGATCAGTATGTCAAGTCCTAAGATTCTTTGTACTGCCTGCTTGAAAGTCAGTGCTGTTTAAGTACTTTGCACAGAAGAGGTTGATGAGAATCACAGCAATCAATCAAAGCATCCCAAGTGAGTTACTAGATAAACAATAGCTCAGTACCTCTAGTAACTGATTTCTCTACTTGATTAAACTATAAAAAGACAGACTTTCCAAATACTATATCTGAGTTTCTATATGAAAGTTAAACAATACACATTTGTGTGTTTTATAGAAATATAAACGTTTCAGTTTTACATGATGCCAAACACACACCCAAGGCACGTCTTTACAAAATGAAACAGGTTTTCTCCATCCTTCTCATATAGCTTAAAGTATGTGGCAGTTTATTTCAACATGTGCAAAACAGAGACTACGGTATTCGGTGCCTCTCTGGGTTTCTAAGAATTCTTTCGAGTTAAGCACTAATTTAAAGTTTCCAGAAATTTTCTGAAGGTTTTCTCTCATCCTATCCTAAAAGTTAAACTATTCCCATTCCACATTTTCAGCTAAGAACAGACCAGGGAGAAAAGCTATAAAATATAACAAAATATCTAGAATGATAGTAAGACTATCCCATCTCCTCCTCTCCAGCCCTCTGCTCACCTCCTCCTGGAAGATTGTCCATGAGCTATGCCAAATGTCCTTTGGGAATCTGAGGGGTAGGGGATCAGTGAGGCATGGACTCTGAATTAACTCACTTGGTCCCTTTCATCATTCCCCGCACTGGCCTGAGAGTAAATCTCATGTTACCTTTTAGTCGAACCTCCTGTTTCCCAAGGTGTCTGATTTAGGACACAAAGGCTGGCTTTTTGTTAATGAGATACCCTAAATTCGACAGCCCAAATGATGAACAGGCTGCCCTTAAGGCACCTGCCACCCTCTGTCGTCCCCATCAGGAAAGGCAGGCAGGCATTCGGTGAAGAACTCCTCCCGGGACAGCCTTCCACCTGATTTGGTGGGGTTAGGGAGAACAATGAAGGGAAGGGCAAGAGAGTCTATCCCCCCGCCCCCGGTGATTTATTACTGAAATTCCTAAATGTGGACAGAAAGCAACAAAGGTCTGGAAGCTGCAGACTGAAATAAATAGCGATGTATTTAAAGTATTTAGTAAATGATAATGCGATCCACAGAAAGCTTTAGAGAGGAGAAGGAAAAATACACTCCCTGGGGCTGGGAAGTCACTGAGTCTGTGAAGGCAGAGAAAGATACATTGTGCAGGAAATTTCTCCTGCTTTTCCCTGCACATAAATCACCGTCTCTCGCGGGCACTCTGCGGGGATGGAGAGGACAGACACGGCTCCCTAGGGAAAGCGCGCCGGCGCCCCTGGCTCCCCACCAGGCTGCATCCCACCTGCCCAGGCGGATCTCCATCCTAGACAGGCTTCAGTGTGTCACTGACACCTCACCCCGCCTCCACCTGCGAGATGCCTCAGCGCACCCCAGGACGCAGAGCTGAAGAGCAGGCTTCGGGGTACTGCCAGCTGCCCTTCCCAAGCCCGGACCCCCTGCGCCGGCCGCGCCGCGCCGGCCTGCTTCCCCCAACCTCCCGCCCCCGAGCCATCCCTCAGGGACTTTGCCTCTGAACCCCCGCACCTCTCGGCGGGGCTGGCTAAGCCCCCAGACCTCCTGCGCGGCAGCCGGCTCCGAGAGCCACCCCCAAGTCATCACCCCGCGCGCTGGCGGCGGCGGCGGCTGCGATCCGAACGGGTCCCTCCATGCACCAGGCAGGGCGGCCGGAGGGCGCGGCGCTTTGCACGCGGGGCGGGGGTGCTGAGGCGGCTCGGGATCCCGGCTCGCGTACCGAGCCGCGCGAGCCGGGTACCTGGGGGCGGAGTCCCGGGGCGCGCCCCCGAGGCCGCGCTCCTCCCTGCCTAGCGCGCGGACGCGAAGCCCGGGGAGGCCGGCCGGGGAGGAGGGGACCGGCGCCGACGGAGGCGGGCCGCACAGGCCGCCGCTCCCGGGCCCGCACCCAGCCGCAGGGTGCGCGCGCAGCCTGCCAGATCAGCGGCGGGACGGGCGGTACCACTGTGCAAGGGGGGGAGGAGGGGGACGCCGCGCGCGGGAGCAGCTCTGCGCCGGCCCTGTGTCCGCTCTGCACGGAGGTCCCCGCGGGAGAGCCGGGCCGCGTCGTGCTGTGCTGCAGACCGGGTGCCAGAGAGGTGTCCCGGCGAGCGGAAGGGGCGCCCGCGAGGTCTGCACTCACGCTCCCCTCACCTTCGCTCGCCCAGGACAGGCGGCATTCCAACCCGGTGCACCGCGGGTCTGTACGTTCCGCCGTTCCCGCCCAGGCCCCGCCCCGCCTGCCCACCTTCGGAGGAGCCACCTAGACCGTCCTTTCTGCTACTCTTTGAGCACTGCCCTGGATTGTGGCTCCAGCTCGCCGCCACGTTCCTTCGGCTTTTTAGCTTCTTAAGCAGTTTCCTCTGATTCCTCAACCCACCCACCCTGCCTTCACGAACCGGCTGGCAGGTGACAAGTTTCTGAGCCGAGGAGAGCTCTTTGTCGTGTGGAAAGCAGCACGGCCTTTGGCCCCAGAGTCTTCCCAACACTTCCTTTGAACTTGCCCTAGTTATAAGAGCTCAATGAACGTTAGTTGTACAAACAAAAAGGGGCGGGGGGGCGCCGTTTTTCTTTAGGAAGTGCCTGTGAAGCATAAATACAATATTTATAATACTCTGAGGAGCACCTGACACTCTGGGCATCCTAGGATTGTAACTTTTTAAAATTATTAACAGTTCATTTTCTTTATTTAACCATCATGGTCATTACTATTAATTTACTACAAAAACACCAATGCTACTTGGTGGTCATAATGACTCTGCACTGATCTTCAAAAGAATACATTCTCCCTTATCTTTAGCTGGATCCAGGGTGTCCTGAATGCCCCAAAAGAAAACCAGTCGAAAATCAGTATAGGAAAGAAAAAAACTAACGTTGACTTGTCCTCCATTATTCCACATTTTAATTTATTCAGACAAAGAATCTGTATGTTATTAACCTAACAAGGTATAGAAATTACTTTTTTTTTTTTTCTTCAGCAAAGATGCTTCCTACGGAAAACAGAAGATTTAGCTGAAATAAGTTCTGTGCTTCTGGCAGTCTTGTGGCACAGTAAAGAATCCTGGCCATTCTCTAGACACAAGCTCCACTACAAAGACTTCCAGCTGCTTCTGTTGGGACTGGGTTGACTGTGGGCACCTCCCACCTAACAGGGCTATTCAAATATCACTGTAATTACTATTACTCAGACTCAACCCTGAGAAGTAGTCAGAAGCTTGTTGATCTGATTGCTTCTCTACTGCCTATTGCAAAGCAGAGAAGTCATTGCAGACAATGAATAAGTCATTTGTTCAACATGTAGGTTAAAAGTATTAGCATTTACTCCATACACGGACAGGCACAGGAGTACTTAGAAAAATATCACACATCCCAAGTTGCAGAGACCTCACAGTCTCATGGTGATACAAGCACATACATAGATAAATATTCTGGGCCATCTTCCATGGAATGAACTGTGACACTCAAGGGCAGTGTAGCCAACTATGTCTAGAGTTTGGGAGTGGCGCTTGCCAAAAAAGGCTTCCCAAAAGAATTGACCCTTGGACCAAGCCTTGACGGTTCAAAGGAACTGGCCAGTTAAAGGAATTCACTAGTTAAGGTGAAGGAGTACAAAGAAGACCTAGGCAGGGAAGACAGTATGAATAAAGGTGTGAAGGCAAAAAATAAGACAGTTCAGAGCTTTTTTTATGGCTTAAATCTAAGGAACCTAGTAGAAATTGACCGGTGACAGCAATGCAGAAATAAGCACAAGCCAGGTCACAGGGTCTGTGTAGATTATGCCAAGGATACAGGACTTTCAGGCACTAGGGAATCAGAGCTGGGTTTTGAGTGGAAAGGGCAGTGGTCAGATTGTGTTGTGAAAGATCATCTAGCAGCAATGATGAGAAGAGATTGGAGGGAGTTTGGAAGTTTCTTGGTATGGTTTGAGTGTACCCCAAGGCTTTGTGTGTTGTAATTTAGTTCCCATTTTGAGGTGTTAGGAAATCTAAAGAGACTGAACTAGGACTAAAGTAATAAGGGGAGAGAGTGGGAGATAGACTCCAAACGCAGGATAAAAATTTAACCTAACTTGAAAAGTGATTGTATGTGAACAGTAAAGAACCCAGAAACCCAAGGATGACAGTAATCTGCCTAGTTTGGTGGATAGTGTTCACACACACTAGCCCAGTGGTACCCAGGAAGAGGGCAAGAGCTGTGAAAGATACAGGTTTTGGCTGGGAATTGTGCTCACTTAGCATGCATGAAGTCCTGGGTTTGATCCTAAGCACCTCACACATGCACACAGAAAAGACATTGATTTTATGGAACAATAATGGGTTCAAATTTTAACTTTTTATATTTGAGGCATCTGTCTATGCTAGTTACTAGCCTCATCGTTGTGACAAAATACAGAAGCAACTTGGTTAAAAGAATTTATTTTGGTCATGATTTAGAGCGATTTGGATTGATCATTGCAGAGAAGGCAGGGCAGAGTGGCTGCATTGGCAGATCAGAAACAGCAAGCTTGGGGCATACAACCTCAACCCACATCTGCCAGCTAAGCCATGTGTCCCAAAGGTTCCCCAGCTTCCCAAAACAGTGTACCAGCTGGGGACCAAGTGTTTGACACTTGGTCCTGTGGAGAACATTTTACATTCAAATCATAACATTGTAGAACCCCCAAACACAAGTCTCTACTGGGTAGATAAACCCAACCTGGAGATAGATTTGAAAGTGATGAGCATTTTATTAGTCAGATTTATACTACTATGGCAAATATCTGAATTAATCAACTTTTAAAAAGGACCAATTTATCTTAACTCACAGGAAGTTTCAATTCATGATTGACTGGCAGCATTATTTTGGACCTGTGGCAAGGCTACACACTTTACAAGCCAAGAAGCAAAGTAAGGAAAAGAAGAGATTGCAGTTCTAGAATTCCTTTGAAGGGCTGCCTCTATGTGCCCTGTGGTGGTTTGAATGAGAATGTTGTCCCCCGTAGACTCCAAATAGTTAGTGGTGCTGTTTTGGGAGATCTTAGACGGTGTGGCCATGCTGGAGGAAGCATGTCACTTGGGGCCAGGCTTAGAGAGTTCTTAAGCCTTGTCAGATCTCCAGTCACCCTCAGCTTGAAGATATGAGAGTTTAGCTTCTGCTCCTATACCATCCACCTTTGCTGCCATGCCTCCCTGCCATGATGGATTCTTGCCCCTTTAGAACCAAAGCTAAATAAATTCTTCCTTTTATAAGTTCCCTTGGTCATGGTGTTTCTATCATAGCAACAGAAAACTAATGCATGCCCCCAAACCTCTTACAACCCCACTTCTTCCTACAAACTTTACTAACACTCTGGGAGACAGTCTATCTCCAGTCTACAGCAAGTAGAGAGTAGTATTTGTATCACAGAATTCTATAAAGTTCTAGCCAATGATGGATCTTCAAACCTCAAGATTGATAATTAATGTTGAAGCCATAGTTGCTGATGGAGATCACAAATTTATAGTCATAGTCTGTATGACTCAGTAAATTGTCCCCATCAAGGTTTAACCACTCAGGCATACAAAGAAACATAACAACAATCCAGATTTAGAGTTTTGCTGGGGGATGTGCAGAAAGAGGACAATGCAGAGGATTGGCAAGAAAATAATTAAATCATCAATCATAGAATCCAGACCATGAGCTGGAAAAGGTTAGGGAAGAATGAAAGACTGGAAGAAAATGGCAGATTAAAGAAAAGGAGATTTCTTTCAGGTTAGAAAGCAGATGTTATAGGATTACATATGGAAAAAAACAAGAAGTGTTTGTTATGATCAGATTTTACACTTCAGACAGAATAACTCCAAACTCTGAAGCGTGTTAACAGGTATGGCAAATGACATAGTGTTAAAGTCATGAGAAGGATGTGGTCAAGGGACACTGGGCTTGAGGGCTGGAGGATATTAGAAGGACCAAGAAAAATGTAAGAGAAGTACTTTGAGCCAAGTACCTCAGTGCTAAGCAATTAGGTGGGAAGATTTAGATGCTAAGGAAGAAGGATATGCATCCACTGAACTCTAGGTCTGAACTAAGTGTTTTTATAATACCAAATAAATGTTGAAACTGTTTCCCCAAGAATGATGTCACAGAGTGACTATAATCAAATTCTAATTCTACCTCAAGTATTTGTTCTTTGGGGGTTTTATTTATTTATTTGCTATTTGTTTTGTTTTGAGACAGGGTCTAACTATATACCCTCAGCAGCCTTGAACTTGTGATTCTCCTATCTCAGCCTCCCAAGTGCTGGGATCTACCTCATTTGGCCTCTGTAAAGAGTCTTGAATTCTTAGTCTTGATTTCATTGTTCTTCAAACAAAAACAATAATAATAATAGTAGTAGTAATAATAGTACCTCCTATAGAGTTAGTAATATGAACAACTTCAGAAAGTTACTGGGAACTTGAGGTAAAACACAAAAAGTGCTTAGTACAGTGCTTGGCTAATAAAAGCTATACATACCAGTAACATCTTCAAAAGCTAGATATAATCAGCATAGTGCTCACATACTTCTTGTTGTGTGGCAAGTATTATCTTTAATGATAGCTCCATATTACAGATAAGAAAACAGACACAGGAATGTGAAGTGCCTTAACTAGATCACATAGCTAGCCAATGTCAGAGCTGGCATGCAGACCAAGGAAGCCTGGGTTGGGAGGTGGCCTTTTACTGTACATTAATCCCTTACCACAATAAGAGCAGATCTATTATCTGTTCAAATGAATCGCTCAATTAAAATTTTCCTTGAATATGAAAAAATG